TCCTCTCCAACATAAGTCATCACTGGTGTTTCTAATTTTAGCCATTCTGGCAGGGGTAAGATGGTATCTCAAAGTTGTTTTGATTTGCATTTCCCTGATAACTAAGGATGTGGAGCATTTTCTTAAGTGTCTTTCAGCCTTTTTGATTTCCTCCATTGAGAATTCTTTCTTCAGTTCTGTACCCCATTTTTTAATAGGGTTATTTGGTGTTTTGTTGACTAGTTTCTTGAGTTCTTTGTGTATTTTGGAGATCAGCCCTTTGTCAGATATAGGGTTGGTGAAAATCTTTTCCCAGTCTGTGGGCTTCCCTTTGGTCTTGTCGACTGTGTCCTTTGCCTTACAGAAGCTTCTAAGTTTGAAAAGGTCCCATTTATTAATTGTTTCTTTCAGTGTCTGTGCCCCTGGAGTTATGTTCAAGAAGTGGTCTCCTATACCAATTTGTTCAAGGGTACCTCCTACTTTCTCTTCTAAGAGGTTCAATGTGGCTGGATTGATGTTAAGGTCTTTGATCCATTTGGACTTGAGTTTTGTGCATGGCGACAGGCATGGGTCCATCTGCAGTCTTCTACACACCCTCATCCAATTGTGCCAGCACCATTTGTTGAAGATGCTGTCCTTGCCCCATTGTATAATTTTAGCTGTTTTGTCGAAAATCAGGTGTTCATAGGTGCATGGATTAATATCAGGATTTTCAATTCGATTCCATTGGTCTACCTGTCTATTTTTATGCCAATACCAGGCTGTTTTCAGACCTATAGCTCTGTATTAGAGCTTAAAGTCAGGAATGGTGATGCCTCCTGAAGTTCTTTTATTGTATAGGGTTGTTTTGGCTATCCTGGATCATTTGTTTTGCCATATAAAGTTGATTATAATCCTTTCAAGGTCGGTGAAGAATTGTGGTGGGATTTTAATGGGGATTGCATTGTATCTGTAGATTGCTTTTGGTAAGATTGCCATTTTTACTATGTTAATCCTACCTAACCAAGAGCATGGGAGATCTTTCCATTTTCTGGTATCTTCTTTAATTTCTTTATTTAGAGTCACAAAGTTCTTATTATATAGGTCTTTTACTTGTTTGGTAAGCATTACACCAAGATACTTTATGTTGCTTGTGGCTATTGTAAAGGGTGATGTTTCTCTGATTTCTTTCTCTGCCTCTTTGTCGTCTGAAAAAAGTAGGGCTACTGATTTTTTTGAGTTTATCTTGTATCCTGCTAGTTTGCTGAAGGTGTTTATCAGCTGTAGGAGTTCCCTGGTAGAGTTTATTGGGTCACTTATGTAAACTATCATATCATCTACAAATAGAGACAATTTGACTTCTCCCTTTCCAATTTGGATCCCCTTGATCTCCTTTTGTTGTCTTATAGCATTAGCTAGAACTTCTAGTACGATATTGAACAGGATGTATTCTAAGAGATTCATATAAAGTCCCTCACAGAACTGGGAAGGGACAAGTCCCCCAGAGCTCAGGTGAAGTGGGGGAAGACAGCGAAAGGAGAGAGAAGTAGGAGAAAATGAGGGGGAGGAAAGGAAAACCTGTGCGACCAGGAAGATTGAGCCTGGTTAGGAATAGAAGATAGGAAAGAGAGAGAGAGACAGAGACAGAGAGAGAGAACATAAAAGAGGGAGCCAATATTGGTTTGAAGATAAAATTGAACACAAAGAAAGGTCGAGAGAACTACAAGACTGCTCCCAACTAACAATCTCAGCTTCCGTGGAAAGGCTATCATAAATGCCCTTCCCGGAGAGTGAGATCAACAACTAGCTTCTCCATGGAGCCCTCCACTAATGCCTGTTGAAAATAGGAGCAAACACCCATACATGAACACTGAGTCGAACTGGAACCCAGAGGCAGATGGAGAGGACAAGACCATGAGGCAGAAGCACATAGAGACAGCTTACCTGAACAAGGAGCTAATAGGCCCCCAGACTGATGGCTGGGAAGCCAGCATGGGACTGACTCCGGCCCCCCGAATGTGGGTCTCAGCCAGAAGGACTGAGCAGTCTGGGGGACCTCAGACAGTGGAGCCAGGATGTATCCCTGGTGCACAAAAGGACTTTGCGAACATATCCCCCATGGAGGGATAACTGCCTTAATCTAGAGACAGGAGAGAAGCCCTAGTCCCTACTTCACAAGACCTGTCAGATCTACATGACCCCAACTGGATGGCATCCCCCTGCACATGGAGTTGGGGTGGGGGGATGGGAGGGGAGGGTGTTTAGAGTGCATGTGAGAGGGCAGAGAGGGTAAAAGGGAGGGAAGGAGGGAGAGAGGGTTGGGGGGGAGAGGGAGGGAGGGAGAGGGAACTGGGATCGACATGTAAAACAATAAATTAAATTAAAAGGATGCTTTGACTCCAAAATTTGAGTTGAGGGACAAGTTACTGGGGAAAAGGATTTCTATTTTTGTTTCCACAGAAAATGAAAAGCTGTGGATTCCTTCCAGACTAATGAGGTTTGATCACACCAGACTGCCTGAAACAGAGTACAAGCTAATCCTACATTCAAAACAGCTGGACAAAACAGCCCTACAGACTACAGCCAGGATATCTGAATCTTCTTCGAATCCCATCAAGACAGCGCCCCTTACCAACAGGAAGTAGCTTGGAAAGAACGACGCCCAAATTCCCAAATATTGTGTATAAATGTTTCTTTTCATTTAATTGGACTTTGTTATAAAAAATTAAATAAAGTAAAAAAACATAAAATAAGTGCCTTTGGTCTCCTTCAGGAAGTTATCTGATCTGTAGCTTATATACAATATAAACAGAGTTGTAGTATGTGATCCTTGCTTACTACTAATACTGCATTGCAGTTTAACAAATCTGTGCTGTGGGTTTACTGAGAACACTATGCTGGCCACAGAAACTGCTTCTTACAGAGATTGACTGGATGTTATTTCTGCCTGCAGCATCCTACCCCAACTGCACAGAGAATTTCCTGTCTTCAAAACGAATCATAAACAAGATGTCCTCAGCAAAGCTCCAGACTCTTATTTTATAATACACTAACACAAAAACAGACCAGGTTACTGTTTACATATGCTGGTACAACAGTCCTCACATGCCTCTGCTGTACAAGTTGTGATGATAGCCTCTCTCCCTCGCTCCCTCTTTCTTTTTATTTTGTTCAGTATTAACAACGTGACAAATATTTATTAAGTACTTGATTTGTACAAAATATTTTTTCTAAGTCACTGTATACACTACCATATATACTCTTCTCCAAATTTGATTGACATTTTCTCTGAATGCTTATAACTGAAAAAAATACCTGTAATTTAATCACCTTTTTCTGCCTTATGGAGTACATGTACTCAGTACAGTCAATTTTCATGGCTCAGCAAATATTCATGATTATTGTCTTTTCCTAGAAATATATACTGCTCCAATAAACAGACTTCTGTTTGTTTACTTGTAAGTCATTTTAGGGGGTTTAATGGACTGTTTACTGGTTATTTCCTTTATAATTGGTAGTTGTTCTTCTCTTTTGAAATTATAGTTAGGACATTTGAATTTAGTTCAGAGGAATCCCAGAAAAATGCTTAAATTTTCCTAATAGTCATAAATCAAAACAGGACTACAGTTGCTTTTGTAAAGTTTAAGATACTCTACTTATTGAAGCATTCAGCTTTATTGAGCACTTGTGTTCTTATTGCATTCCTTTGAGGGAACACAACTATTGTGATTAAATTTTCTTCTTGTTATCAGTCATTCCAGGTAAGGCAGTCTTTTGATTACTTGGGGGTGAGCTAAAAGAAGCTTACTTAAAATACTAATCTGTCTTACAAGTGATGTTGTAGACACCACAGATGGTAAGAAAAGGACACACAGTGATGTAATGTTGAAGTATAAATCAGGTGGTAATAAAGTGCCATATTTCCTGTGACCAGTAATTTAGTATCAGCAAAGCTTGACCACCATGATCTTTTAATTGCATTAAGTTTTCTTAAGCAGGAGTTTCATACTTCTTCAAGATACAAAGTGAAAGAGAGGGAAATGGGGTTTATACAGGTGTTATTGACATGCTTAAATAATCATGTATATGAAATTATCAGAACCAGTGCTAGAGGATCCACTACAGTTTTTTACTTAGTAGGAGTCATCTTCAAAAAAAGCTACCTTGCCTTGAAGGATTTATCAGTCCGTGATAGGATTTTAGATATTCTCACTGGGTGCTAATTTAGGGTGGGAAAAACTTTACCTCCTGTAGCTCTCAAGTCAGTTTTGTTTCCTGCTGAGTGGTAGGTTGAGGCTTTCTGCTTTTCTGAGGAAAAACAAGATGCTTTCTGGAAGCACTAAACCCTTAAGGCTAATATCCAAAAGAAAACATTCAATAGCTCAGAAATCAAAGAAATTTGAGCTCTGTGTAGAGAAAGAAGTTTCCCTATCAATTCTTGATCATGTTTCTGTAATTCTCAAAGGTTTGAGAGATGAATCTACACACACAAAGACTAGATCCTAAGGGCTTTTCAGCCAGTGATATGGAATTAACCAATGAATGAACAGACTAGGGAAGTTTAATAGTAAAGTCATGTTTCGCCACTACAAATGGGCACTTAGGCAAAGCAAATCATTTGCTTTAAATTTGATGGATACTTCATTTATTGATCATTCACATATATACCTTTATTTAAAATAAGGTACAGGTAGGAAAGTGAGCAATTAGAAAGGAAGAAAGCAAGTCAGTGGGCAATTTGATCATGTTTAAACAATTCAAATCCACTTGTTTAATCCTCTCATCTTAAATTATTCACAGGGGCATTTTGTTTCTCAAAGGTTTATAAACAAAGTGTAAATCACCCAAGTAGAAGCAATTTACTTCTTTTAAGCCAAAGCCCTGCCTAGCTAGGGAGTCACCTGAAGGAATTAACCAGAACAAAATCCTGATTAAACAGTTAATTGGCTTGTCTACTAATGGAAAGAAAAACAAAACGCATCTCTCTGCTTCAAGATTCAGAGTCACAAAATCAGAGGTGTTTCAGAACTGCCTGAGAGAAGATGCTTAAATCACTGACAGTAAAATTCAACAAAGTGAAGCCTATGGAAGGGAGGACTGAGGATGAAACCTGCCCTCACCTGAGTGGTCAGTCTCAGCCATCTACAGCCCAGGTATGTCCTTTATGTTCCTAAGGCAGTCTTGAGTCTCATCCTTTGTCTACTAATGGGTGCTAGTAAATGCTGCCATGCTGAAGATAGCTCTGCAGTTTTACATGGTAACATCGAGGTTGAGTACTGTTTTAGCCATGTTCTTATTAACTTATATGTCCTGTATAAGCATATTTTAAGAGAGGATAATACAGTTTAGGAGATGCATTTGGACTTGCCAGACCTTTAAATATAATTGTTTTCTCACAGGTTACACAGAAATAGTTAATAGCTGCTCCTCCTAAAGAACATTCGAGTTTTCTGCAGTAACTATATACTACACACTGTGTCAAGCCCTTTCCAAGTACCAGTATGTGTGAGACAGAATCCTGTTCTAACACTGCTAACGCACACCTAGAATGTGGCTGAGGCTGTACTAGACCCCATCCCATGGCCATTACTACAGAGACTTCATCATCAGCCAGACTGCGGGGTGACAGAGGAATGGGGGCTATGAATGAGCCCTTGCAGATAAGGTTCCCAGAAGCTACAGGGCACTTGAAAGAAAACAGGAAGAAGAGGAACATTTCAAGAGCCATCTCACCCCAAAGCAGCAATGCTGGAGGACAGCTTAGCTCATGAACAGGCAAAACTCTGGGTATAGCCAGTACCATGTGGCAGCTGTGATACTGGGAATTAATCATGAGACCTGCTGGCATCAAAAACTCTTAGCAGTCATGTCTGGAAATTCTTAATATCTGTCCTTTCTAAATACATGTGGGAAATAGATAAAACATGATTTTTTAAGTTCTATATTAAAATATGCTAAATGCAACAATCACAAAATGTTAAAATGCTATTTACACCTATAACAAACACATTTCAATTGTATATAAATAAATAAAAATAGTGTGAGTCCTATAGAGACATACCTAGAAAGAATTCAAATTGTAATATGCTTTGAAAAGTATCCTTAAAAGTTCAATCAATCAGAAAGTTCCTGGGTAATTCCAGCTTACCAACAGCTACTAACTACCAAAGTACAAAGTAAGCCCTATAAAAACATGTTCCTTCACTTCTGAATATGATGTTGCTCAAGTAAGTCAATATTTATGCAACATATAAAGACTATAATGAAAATTTTTTACAAATAATATCAATACATGATAAAAATAGTTGTTATTAATATTCATAGATTGTCTAAATCCTTGCCTCCATATCTATGTGCACATAATTAGCCATTCAAACAATTTTATATTTGATGGGAAATAACAGAAGTCTTGCCTAATTCAATGGTAACTGTGACTGAGAAACTTATAAAGTTATGTGATAGTGTTTAGTTCTCATAAATAGTATCTAAGCTTCCATATTACAGAACAGGAGACGCTCAAAGACATTGTTCCTAGCTGCTTCCTCAACTCTTCTCACATTCTTCTCCATATGGATACTTCTAATTTCATCTTTCACCCATACACAACCATATCTTGGATATTTGTTCTGGCTCTATCATCCACCTGACTTTGTAAAGACAAGATCCACTTCCCTCAAGATCTCCCAAGAAAATTGGGAGCATGGGGGGGAGGGAAGAGGAAGGTAGGAGGAAGAGGAAGGGAGATGTGGACATGACGAAGCAAGAAGATTGAGTCAGGGGAAGAATAGAAAACAGCAAGAAAAGAGATGCCATGATTCATGGAACCATTATAGGTATAAAGAGAAAACTGTCACTAGAAAAGTGTCCAAAGATCTACAAGGATGGCCCTCAATTGACAATCTAAGCAATAATGGAGAGGCTTCCTTAAATGTCCTTCCATGATAATAAGACTGATGACTGATGCCATCCTAAAGTCTTTATCTAGTAACTGATGGAAGAAGCAGACACCCACAGCTAAACACTGAGCCAAACTTATGGAATCCAGTTGCACAGAGGGAGAAGTGATGAGCAAAGAGGTCAATACCAGGCTGGAGAAACCCACAGAAACAGCTGACCTGAACAAGGGGGAGCTCATGGATCCAGTCTGATAGCTGGGAAACCAGCATAGGAATTACCCAGACCCCCTGAATGTGGGTGTTAGTTAGAAGGACTGGGCAGTCTATGGGACCTCTGGTAGTGGATTAATGTTTCTCCCTAGTATACAAATAAACTTTGGGAGACCATCCCACATAGGGGATACTCTCTCAGCCTAGACACATTGGGGAGGGCCTAGACCCTGCTCCAAATGATATAACACAGATTGAAGGCTCCCCATGGAGGGCATCACCATCCCTAAGGAGCAAAAAGGAAATAAAATGGGAGTGGGTGGAGAGAACAGGGGAGGGAGGGAGGGTGCCAGAACGGGAATTGACAAGTAAAACAAGCTTCTTTCAACTTTTTGTGTTTGTGTGTGTTATTTTTTTATTTTACATATCTATCCCAGTTCCCCCTCCCTGCCATGCACTCCAACACCCCCACACACATACCATTCTCCACATACACACACACTCCACAGGGAGGGTGATGCCTTCCAGAAGGGATCATGAAAATCTGTCAAGTCAGTTGGAATAAGGTCTAGGCCCTCCCTCCTGCCTCTAGGCTATAGGAGTATCCCTCCATGGGGAATGTGCTCTCCAAGTCCTTTCCTGCACCAGTGATACATGCTGGTTCCACTGTCACAGGTCCCTCAGTCTGCCCAGGCCTTCAAACTGAGACCCACATTCAGGTGCTCTGAGTCAGTTAATGCTGGGTTTCCAGATATCAGTCTAGGGGTCCATGAGCTCCCCCTTCATAGGTCAGCTGTCTCTGTGGGTTTCTGTAGCCTGGTCTTGACCCCTTTTGTTATCACTCCTCCCTCTTAGCAACTGGATTCCAAGAATTCGACTCAGTGTTTATCTGTGGGTGTCTGCTTCTGTTTCCATGAGCTACTAGATGAGGGTTCTATAATGGCATATAAATTAGTAATCAATCTCATTATCAGGGAAGGGCATTTAAGGTAACCTTTTCACTGTTACTCAGATTGTTAGCTGGGGTCATCCTTCTAGGCCTCTGTACATTTCTCTACAGTCAGTTTTCTCTTCAAATCTATAATGGCTCCCTCTATTATGGTATCTCTTATTTTGCTCTAGTCTATTCATCCCCTGACTCAATCTTCCTGGTCCCAGGTATTCTCCTCTCTTCCCCTTCTTTTTCTCCTAACTCCCTCCCCGTTCACTGGCCTGACAATCCCAATATGCTCAGGTGATCTTGTTCCTTTCTCCTTCTGTGAGAGATCTTACACAAATCTCTTAGGTTCCTACTTCTATCCTAGTTTCTCTGGGAATTATAAGCTGGTGATCCTTTGCTCTATGTCTAAAATCCATATATGAGTGAATACATACCATGTTCCACTTTTTGTGACTGGGTTACCTCACTCAGCAGGGTTTCTTCAATTTCCATCCATTTGCCTGTGAATTTCAAGGTTCCATTGTGTTTTTCTGCTGGATAGTATCCCATTGTGTAAATGTACCACATCTTCATTACCCATTCTCAGTTGAGGGGCATCAAGGTTGCTTCCATGTTCTTGCTATTACAAATAATGCTGCTATGAACACAGTTGTACAGATGTCTTTGTTGCATGGATGTGGATCATTTGGGTATATGCCTAAGAGTGGAATTGCTGGGTCCTGTGGTAAACTGATTACCATTTTCCTGAGGAAATGCCATACTGATCTCCAAAATGGCTGTACAAGCTTGCACTCCCACCAGAAGTGGAGGAGAGTTCCCATTCCTCCACAGTTTCTCCAGCATAAGCTGTCATTGGTGTTTCTAATTTTAGCCATTCTAACAGGAGTAAGATGATAGCTCAGAGTTGTTTTGATTTGCATTTCTCTGATGGCTAAGGATGTTGAGGACTTTCAGCCATATTGGATTCCTCTATTGAGAATTCTCTATTCAGTTCTGTACCCCACTTTTTAACAGGGTTATTTGGTGTTTTGACAACTAGTTTCTTGAGTTCTATGTATATTGTGGAGATCAGCCTGCTAAGGTAGTTTTTTTTTTTTTTTTTTTCCTTGTTGGTCTGGTCCCACTGTAGTGCCAGCCTCAAATAACACACAGAGAGCTTTATTAGATTTAATTCTGTTGGCCAGTTACTAGTTTTTTATTGGCTAGCTCTGTCTTAAATATTAACCCATTTCTATTAATCTTACAGGAGAGAGGGCCCAGACCTCTCTTCTCTCAAGTCTCTACATGTTGACTCCTCCTTATTACTTCCTCAAATCCTCCTTGTCTCTTAGTCACACCTATCTTGCTTTCGTATTGGCCAACAGTGCTTTGTTCATTAACCAATAAGAGAAACATATTTACAGAATGACATCTCCCATCATCAGCCCCCTGTCAGATGTGGGGTTGGTGAAGATTTTTCTCATCTGTGGGCTGTCATTTTGTCTTGTTGACTGTGTTATTTGCCTTACAGAAGCTTCTCAGGTTGAGGAAGTCCAATTTATTAATTATCAATCTCAGTGTCTGTGCTACAGGTTTATGTTCAGAAACCAGTCTCCTATATCAATTTGTTAAAGGATACCTCCCACTTTCTCTTCTAAGAGATTCAGTGTGGCTGGATTTATATTAAGGTCTTTGATTCATTTGGACTTAAGTTTTGTGCATGACAATAAACATGGGTCTATCTGCAGTCTTCTAGACAGCATCATCCAGTTGTGCCAGCACCATTGTTGAATATGCTTTCCTCCTTCCATTGTATACTTTTAGTTCTTTTGTCAAAAATGTGGTGTTTGTTGGTGTATGGGTTAATATCATGATTTTCAATTTTATTCCATTGGTCTACCTGTCTATTTTTGTGCCAATACCAGGCTGTTTTAAGGACTATAGCTCTATAGGAGAGCTTGAAGTTGGGGATGGTGTTGCCTCCTGAAGTTATTTTATTATACAGGGTTGTTTTGGCTATCCTGGGTCTTTTGTTTTTCCATATAAAGTTGAGTAGGATCCTTTCAAGGTCAGTGAAATATTGTGCTGGGATTTTGATGGGGAATGCATTGAATCTGTAGATTGCTTTTGGCAAGATTTCCATTTTTACTGTTTATTCTACCTGTCCAAGATCATGGGAGATCTTTCCATTTTCTGGTATCTTTTTTAATTTCTTTCTTTAAAGACACAGAGTTCTTGCTATATAGGTCTTTCACTTGTTTGGTAAGCATTATCCCAAAATACTTTATGTTGTTTGTGGCTGTTGAAAGTGTTATGTTTCTTTGATTTCTTTCTCAGCCCCTTTATCATCTCTAAATAGTAGTGATACTAATTTTTTTGAGTTAATCTTGTATCCTGCTACTTTGCTGAAGGTGTTTATCATCTGTAGTCCCCTGGTAGAATTCGTTGGGTCACTTACGTAAAGTATCATATCATCTGCAAATAGTGAAAGTTTGACTTCTTCCTTTCTAACTTGTATCCCCTTGATCTCCTTTTGTTGTCTTATTGGTCTAGATAAAACTTCAAATACAGTATTGAAGACATATGGAGAGAGTGGGCAGTCTTGTCTCTTCCTGATTTTAGAGGAATTGCCTGAAACTTATCTCCACTCAGTTTGATGTTGGCTGTTTGGTTTACTGTATATTGCTTTTATTATGTATAGGTATATTCCTGTTATCCCTGATCTCTCCAAGACCTTTATTATGAAAGGGTGTTGGATTTTGTCAAAGGCTTTTTCAGCATGTAGTGAGATGATAATATAGTTTTTCTTTTTCAGTTTGTTTATATGGTGGATCACACTGATAGATTTTCGTATGTTGAACCTGCAACCCAGGGATGAAGCCTGCTTGGTAATGGTGGATGATTTCTCTGATGTGTTCTTGGATTTGGTTTGCCAGTATTTTATTGAGTATTTTTGCATCAGTGTTCATGAGGGATATTGGCCTGTAGTTCTCTTTCTTAGTTGTGTCTTTGTTGGCTTGGGTCCCAAGGTAATTGTAGCCTCATATAAAGAATTTGGTAATGAACCTTCTGCTTCTATTGTGTGGAACACTTTGAGGAGTATTGGTATTAGCTCTTCTTTGAATTTCTGGTAGAATTCTGCACTGAAGCCCACTGGCCCTGGGCCTTTTTTGGTTGGGAGGCTTTTGATGACTGTTTCTATTTTATTAGGAGTTATAGGTCTATTTAAGTTGCTTATCTGTTCTTGATTTAATTTTGTTAAGTGATAGCTATCCATAAATTTGTCCATTTCCTTTGAATTTTCAATTTTGGTGGAGTACAGGTTTTCAAAGTATGACATGAAAATTCTCTGGATTTCCTCAGTGTCTGTTGTTATGTCCCCTTTTCATTTATGATTTTGTTGATTTGCATGTTCTCTCTCTGGTTTTTGGTTAGGTTGGATAAAGGTTTGTCTGTCTTGTTGATTTTCTGAAAGAACCAACTCTTTGCTGCATTGATTGTTTGTATTGTTTTCCTAGTTTCTACTTTATTGGTTTCAGCCCTCACATTGATTATTTCCTGGTGTCTACTGGTCCTAAGTGGATAGGTGGGTCCAGTGTGCTCAGAGCAGACCCGGAAGTTCCAGGGAGGTGGATTGGGTTGTTGGACCTGCACTCTGGCCCAATGCTCACCCTGCACACAGTGGGCTCAGAAAGACAAAGGGTGAGGGGCTAAATAAATTTTTAAAAAATCCACTTCCCCATTTTATTTGTCCTTTTCCCTTCCTTTCTACTGTAAAATGATTAGTTTTAAGTGCATTTCTATTTTCCATTGATATATATATATACACACACACATACACACACACATACACACACACACATACACACACACACACACACACACACACACACACACACACACATCGGTGATAGGAGGACTAGAAGTATTCAGTTGTATGTGGATAGTCATTTGTGTACATGCATGAAAGTCAGAAGTCAGCCTCATTCAGGTGCCATTCTTCAGGAACTTTCTCACACATACTGAGACTTACGGCCCACCATTTCAGCTACGTTGCTGTCCTGGAAGGTTCATGGATCTGTTAGAATGCAGCCCCCACTTTAGGATTACATGTATCTGCCACCTCATCTATCCTTTTATGTCAGGTCTTCATGCTTGGATACCAGTCACATTATCACATTACCAACCATCTCTCCAGCCTAGTCACAGTTTTGTTACCTGTTCCCCCTACTAGTGTTTGGGAGCCTATGTTTCTGCATTATAACCTGTGTTTTGTGTCAGTTCATCCCTCTAGGTGCACCATCAGATATCCACTGGCCATATCTACTCTGATATAACTCCATTTCAAATGAAAATATCGATTAAAGACATAAGCAAAACCATGAGGAGAACAAAGTTAGTAATGATGGGATGAATCTGCCACCTCCTCCCATTGTTTTAATTCTACCACTAAAGAGCCTGATGGACCAATACTAGTGTGATATGAGGACCAAAATTTGGAGGACCATGGGCCAGAAAAATATTGACAAATCATCTTGTTAATTGTGGTAGGAAAATGGTCAAATCTGATTCAAAGTTACTCAATGATAAGGCCAACAATATCTATTTATTTTAAAGATTTTAGGAAATCATAGATAGATGTTCAGTTTTAATAATCACATTGATATCTAAGTAATAATAGTGACATTTTATATTAAACTTTATTTTAGACTAACTACAATATCTATTTTGCTTCTCAAAGGGAGAAAACAAAAGTGAAACACCAATCACATGTGAAAAGCCACACACCAAAGAACAAGGTCAGAATGTTACCTGTAGGGGGGGAAGTAAAATATGTGTTTGTCTAAAATATGTTATTTGATTTAAAAAAATGTCCTTATCCAAGCAAATTATTGAAAGTTATAGACAGTTTGAAGAACTGAATTATTTGTGAAAATATTACATTTTCTATCAGCCTCTTATTCATTCATTTAGTACAATCACAGGATACTGTGTCTTGGGCAGAGGTATACACATGTATGAGTGTATGTGGGATGTGTGTGAGACAGACAGACAGACAGGCAGACAGAGATGTAGATATAGAATTGCAAATGTTTCTTTGACTGTACAGGTATGGAGGCCAGAGGTTGTCATCAGGTGTCTTCCTCAATTTCTTTCCATCTTATATTTTGAGACAGGGTCCCTGGCTGAAACTGGAACTCACCACTTTTAGCTATAATGGCTGGACAACAAACCCTAGAGATGCATTATGTCTGTCCCCCAATTTTGGAATTACAGACTTAAATACTTAGCTTTTATATAGGTGTTGAAGATCAGGGCTCAGTTTCTCAAGCTTTCCTTTACCCAGTCCTTTACCCATGTGCTAGATACCATTCCATGGCCTTGAGGTACAGTTATGATGATATATAACAATAGCCAAAATCTTTGTTCCTGAAGAAATGATGCTGCAGGGAAAATCAAACAGATCTTGAGAAGCGCATCATGAGGAATAAAATTCCAGGCAGTGAAGAGTTATTAAGACAATAAAGCACGTGTTTCAAGCTTCATTGCCCCTCTTCTCTGTACTTTCTCAACTGGAAAGTTCATCTGCCTTATGCTGCACACTCAGTTCTGCATGGATAACTCCAACAGCATATCAGGACAATTACTATTGTGAAACTCAATCCAGTATTTTCCAGCTAGCACTGTATATGTGTATATATGCATATTTTGCAAAAAAAATATGATTAAAATGATTTTTCTTTTTTCTTTCTTTTTCTTTTTTTTTTTTTTTTTTTGGTTTGTTTGTTTGTTTTTGAGGCAGTGTTTCTCTGTATTGCTTTGTTGCTTTGGCACTCACTCTGTAGACCAGGCTGACATCACACTCATAGAAATCTTCCTCCTGAGTGCTAGGAGTATAGGCATGTATCACTATCATTTTTTTTAATCTACCCCCAGCTCAAAATCTCACTCTTGCTTTATTTCTCTACCATAAGTTCCACAAGGTCTATACCTCATCTGCCTTAGTAATATTGCAGAAATTTATTACTTACCTTAAACTCTCAGCAAAGTGTCCTGAGCCAGGCCTTTATTATTTAAGTCGTGCCTATATGGACCTCAGGCACTAAGTGGTGTCTTCTATTTAGGACTCTGTTTCACTCAATTTTTCTCCTTTTCCCTCAAGCACAAATGCTATAAGCGTATTATTTTCCTGCAACTACCACTTTGATCCCACACCTCAGCTCAAGAACTGTGAGTGCCATGATAGTGCCTTCAGGACAAACAGAAATACCTTCACTTGGCTTTATAGAACCCAATGAGCTCTATTCTTAGCCTCTCTTGTCAGCACATCTCTCCTGTTTCCCCCTCTATGAAAGCTACATGCTGACAAAAAGAAATAACAAAAAAAGTGGAATATAGTATTGTTTAATATAACAACACAAAATTATTGACATAAAGGCAGAAAAAATTTTATATTTTGTTATACAGTCTTTATAGTGATTTGTATTAAGTCAAATGTTTGAAGTGAGGTACAGTCAATTTCTATTTGCCTGAATTTCTTATCTCTAAGAAAAAAATAAGAAATATGTGAAAACCATAGGCAAGTCTGCAAATAAAAGGTTTTCAAATCAAGTTAGGAACACAGCTGAGTGCTACAGGACTTGCCTAACATGTGAAAATCCTGGAATCAGTCCTTAGCCATGATGGAGAAATGTTCATTTAAACTAACAAAGAAAAAAAAAGATAAGTTGTTAGTGAATCAATTCCTATGAAAGAATACTGCTCAATTCAGAAGTATCCTTCTGAAAACTTGGCCCCATCCTCACTGGGTATGGACTCTTTACAAGATTCTGAAAAAAAAAACCTGTGTGAAAATAACTTACTGACATTAGCAGATAGATATGCTGCAGACATGAACAATTGAAAGGAAATAAGATTTTCCCAGTCAAAATAACAACATTATAATGATCCTGGATTTTTCTGCCACTTCAGTCTTATATTTTTATGATTTTACATTCTTCTCTCCATATACTTTTTTCAAAATGAAGAAATCTCTCTAGGCTTCTGAACAAACTTATTTATTTATTTTTCAGGAAATTCTCGGTTTTTACTGCTCCACTCATATTATTAAAAAAAAAATGCTTTGTGTTTTTAAGCAAATGAGGTGTTTCCATCACTGCCTTCCTTTCTGGGTTTCATGCCAGGTATGCATCACTTACCTGAAGACAAGCTAGGGAAGCATTCTGCAGAAGTTATACCTCTCAGATGCCATATACAGTCAGTTCTCTTAGCCTATCCGTTTTAAATGTTTACATGATGTATCGGAAAAAGAAGGCTTTATTTGGGTTAAAAACTCACATATAAAACTATCACCAAGAGTAAGAGTCATGTTCCAGAAGATATAGTTACAACAAAGGAGACTTGATCTCACTATTTTACAAGTGTGTGTGTGTGTGTGTGTTTGTGTGTGTGTGTGTGCGTACACGTGCCTGCATGCGTGCCTGCGTGCATGCGTGTGTACAGGCACATATATGCCACTGTATGTACATAGAAGTCAGAAGGCAATTTTCAGTAATCAATTCTCTAAATCCACCTTGGATTCTGGGATCGCTTTCAAGGTCTTCTGTTTATGTAGAATCTATTTTGCATGCTGGTCCATTCCACAAGTCCACTCTTGATTTTCTATTAATTTTCTGCATGCATGAAACAAAATATAATGATATCAATCTCACCCCCCACCCTTCATATTCCCCTAATACATCCCACTCCAAACTTCACATCCTTTTTTCCCAACATAATATTTTTATTAATCAATTGGGAGTTTCGGATAATGCACCTCAGCCATGTTAACTTCCCGGTCTCCCCCAGGCCCAACTTTCCCAACACTTGTAACCTACCCCCTCAAAAAGAAGAAAATTTAAAAAAAAAAAAATGAAGTCCAATCTCTGTCAGCCATAAACTCACTGGAGCAAGGTCAAACTCCCAGTAGCCAGCCCCTTAAAGAAAACTGAGTCCTCCCACACTCTCATTCCTGCCAGAACCCATCAACTGTGAAGAGCTACACTTCAGGATCCCTACCTCAATGTTTTAGAGCTTTTTCACTGGCTTCCTGTCTAGAATGTTGTGTGTGTGTGTGTGTGTGTGTGTGTGTGTGTGTGTGTGTGTGTGTGTGTGTGTGTGGTTGGAGATGTTAGAAGAGACAGAGTTTGTCACAGAAGCCTTCTATGTCTCTCATCCTCAACTGTGAGTCTGCAGTCATCGAAGCCACTGCACAAGTAGCTTCCTTGCTCTTTATAGTCAGCAATAGCACCACATGGCTGCTGGTGTCAGCTTACACCATGACCTCAGCAAGGTCTCTGGTAGCAGCACAGACAATGAACATCAATATGCCCTCTAGTGGGAGCACAGACAATGGACGCCTACATGGACCATGAACATCAACAGAGCCCTCAGCTGGAACATCACCTTTTTTATTAGCCACTAAGTCCAGTTAAGACTGCCCATATAGACACTTCATGCTTTTCCTTTAATCAAGTGAATATCATTATTCGATAATCAAAAATCCATTTTGTGGTATGTGTTCACATGAGTGTGTGCCTATGAGGATGTATGGGTATGCATATATAAATGTTGGAGATCTCTGAGTATGTATACACACACACACACACACACACACACACACACACACACAGACACACACACCTAGAGGAACAGGTATCTTCCTAAATTGTTTTCTACCCTATTTTTTGAGAGGAGGTCTCTCACCGAACCTGAAAACTTTAGGATTCTTCTTGGCTGTCTGGTCAGCGAGCATCAGGAATCTGATTGTCTCCACTAATCCTCCTCAGACACAGTGCTGGAGTTACAGATGCATGCCCATGTTTATGAAGCTTCTGCCTTATGTTTCTGTGCTTGTTCAGCAATGCACTTTAACCACCAAGCCTTCTCACTAGCCCCTTAGATCCTCACAGTTTTTAAAACATGTAAGCTTTATTTGCCAGAACAAAAAGATTTTCCATGATGAGTATAATCTTGTGGTCTATTGTGAGGCCTCTGGGAAGGGGAAAAAATACCTTGTTGCCTATCTGAAATAAAGAATCCAGAGCAACAAGTAGCATGGGACTTTACAGAAGAAAAATCACTCAAAAAGCCTAAAATTCTCCTTTATTTAACAAATTTTGTTTTAAAAAGCAGGTGAAAAAAAAATGTATGTGGTTTAATTTCTTGAACACCTATAAAGCTTCCAAAAAAGTTTTGCCTCAAAATAAAGAGAGGGGAGAAACAGAGAGACAGAGTCAGAGAGGAAGAGAAGGAGAGAGAGAGAGAGAGAGAGAGAGAGAGAGAGAGAGAGAGAGAGAGAGAGAGAGAGAGAGCCCTCAATTGGTAATACAAAACAGAAAATAATAGCAAATGGGAATACTGAGGAATGAAGAAACACTACAAATTTATAGGAGCCAAAAGAAGCCAGGAAAACAAAAGCTACACTACAGAGTTATCAAAATAATTCAAATGATGCCTTTTTATAATGAGTTGTTAGAGGATACAAATGGTTTGAAAATACAGCTGTACAAATACAAACACACACACACACACACACACACACACACACACACTCCTTAGTAACATAAACTAAGAATCACAACGTTAGGATAACAAAATTATCCTTAACCTCATTATCTGTATATAATGAAAACCTTTCATAGCTGGTAGTAAAAACTCTTTGGTGGAGTTTCATTTAACAGAGAAGCATTTAACTAAGGAAAACTGATGCAATTAACTATACAAACAGCTAGCTTCAAAATTTTCAGTTAGGACTAAG